ATATATATATATATATATATATATATATGTATATGTATATATATATATATATATATAGATATATATATATATATATATATATATATATATATATATATATATATATATATATATATATATATATATATATATATATATATATATATATATATATATATATATATATATATATATATATATATATATATATATATATATATATATATATATATATATATATATATATATATATATATGCATTATTTTTTCACAAAAGAGCCTTCAAATGCAGTTTACTAGATTGATGATGTATTTTTATGACTGATTCTAGATTGCGATGAACAGGAGACTGACTGTACATTACAATCCTCCGTCATCCTGCATCCTGGAGATCACAGTGAAGGGATTAAAACTCACCGTACAGGACGATTTCGACATGGTAAAGTCATGAGCACATAACAAATGTCTGTTTTCCATCTCGTCATGCTGCTTTTTTATAGTTAAGACTTTCCAATATATTTTTAATGGTGGAATATTGCATTGTGTAATGAAACGATCGAATATTACTGACAGACTGGACTATAAAAGCAAACCCAAAATACTGAAATGTCTTAACATGATTCAGCGTGTGTTTGCAGATCATATGATGAGTTGGTGGAATGTGTGCCGGCCGGGTTTAATCTGGCTGTTTTCTTTAATAAATGTCTTCCACAGAGCAGTCAATACAGTCACTTTTTCCACTTGAAGAACGTCTCATTCTGCGGCTACCATCCCAGAAACAAGAAGTACGTGCTTTACTGGTATCTTTCACATATTAATGAAAATACACTAGAGTACCAATCAAAAGTTTGGGATCAGTATGATTTTTAAAAAGAAATTTAAAGGTTTCATCAACCAAATATACATTAATTTGATCACATCTGACAGTAAAATTGTGTATAATGTTAAAGATTTTAATGACAGTTGTAAATACATGACTAATATAATATCATTTATGGAAGATTATTAACAAGTTATGTTGTCATAACAAAAATAAGACATCTCAAACAAGGTCATCTTTGCATTTCAAATGTCCTAACTGAGCTAATGTCACTAAATAACAGTTGTCATGCATACAATCTTATTTATGGAGTGTCATATCCTGATTATAAAGGTCTTTTCTGGAAAAACTACAACCACAACAATCATACTGACTCCAGACCTGCTCAATGCACAGATCTGTGCTTTATTTTAGCATCTGCTTTCCCCTCAGGTATTTCGGCTTCATTACAAAACATCCAGCGGATGAGAGATTCGCCTGCCACGTCTTTGTGTCTGAAAACTCCACTAAACCCCTCGCCGAGTCTGTGCGGTCAGTCTTACTTTATTATCATATAAAGCATTCATAATATATCACATTCTTCCATCTTTATTCTCATTTAAAGCCATCATTTAGGCCCAATCCCAATTCTACCCCTTAACCGTTCCCCTTACCCCTCGTTTTACGCGTTCACGTCAAGGGGTAGGGGTGTCCCAAGTCTCTTTAGCTTGAAGGCGTAGGGCTAAGGGCAAGGGGTGAATAACTGGGAATAAAACACAACCAGGAACTATGCTTCCAACTACAGCTTTAGAGGTATTTGCAAGCGTACAAGTTTGTGACGCTATTTGCAAATGTTTGTTGAAACGATGGATTTGAGAAACAATAAATCAACGAACTGTTTGTAACGACGGAACTTGCACCATTAGTTATCTAACGATGGTTTTCAGAAAGGCACCCCAGATCGATCTCCCAGTGAAAAGTAACTATTTTGCATATACATATGTACAATTTTAAAAAGGGGGTGTGCCCCCAAACCCCACCCCTAAATCTACACCTCATTGGAGCATGAGCAAATCATACTAACATATATACATGAGGAAAAAGCCTAGTTTCTGGATTTTTTACGGAGTATGCCAGCATTGAAAGTGTGTGTATGTGAGTGTGTGAGGGCGACCTTTACACATTTACCCCTAATGCGTCTGAGAAAATCAAAATATGCATCTCAGAACTACATGCAGTAAATAAAAAACAAAGACTGTGTATTCATGCACCATCAAATGTGCTTATGATTGAAGTGAGTGGGGCAAAAACAGCCACCAACAGTAAATCAGGAAGAAGAAAACGAAAATCTACGTAACTTTTTGATTTAGTGGCTAATTAGTATAAATTCGTACGATCTAATTCGTACATTTTAGTACGATTTGATCATTCCCCAATGACGGTTGGGGTTAGGGGTGGGGTTAGGTGCCACGCCTCCTTTTTAAAATTGTACAATTTCGTACGACTGAACTCGTACAAATTCGTACGAATTAGCCACAAAACTGGCAAAACGTAAAATACTTACGTTTTTTCGTGAGATCAGGCTGAAATCTAACACCGCATCAAAGCCAATGTTTTAACTAATCATTCACACGTCCAAGACTTTGATAAAATGTTAAAAAAAATCTGGACCACAATTACTTTTTATATTAAAATACGTTATTTTGTGGGGGTTTTTCACCAAATTAGTGACATCAATTGTGAATTTGGCAATTAAAGAATTAAAACTCTGTAATCTTCTAAACAATTTAGCAGTTTTGACCAGTGGATGTTTTCACGAACAGGGCACAACGGTTAAATCATCGTTTTGTTCGAAACGATCTCACGAGTAGAAGTGTCCACACAGTCAGATAAAGTAGCTAAGAATTCATCCATTTTAATTTTGTAGATTATAATTGAGGATGAGCAAATCGTACTAAAATGTATGAATGAGCTCGTACTAATTGTGAGTTTGTGTTGTTTTAATTGTCTTATTATATATATATATTTTTTAATCCGATGTTGTCTTGATTTGCAGGAAAGCGTTTCACTTGTACTATAAGGAGTTTGTGGAGGTCTCGTGTCCAACAGAAGACATTTACCTGGAATGATCTCTGCGCAGCAGCAGTGTACATATCAATAACTACGCTACATGAATATATATGAGAAACAATATCTGTATATACTATAATCAAAGACTAATATATCTGACAACACGGACCAAACGAGATGAAGAAGACTGTAATTTAGAGATTAATGCACAAGAGAAATGAAGACGTGTACAGTATAAAGCTATTTTCCTGGA